CACGGTATAGCTCATGGCTTCACTGAGTTATGCAAGCCCCTTCGCCACGACAAGGCAGTGATCCATGAAGGGGTGGGTGGAAATACCAATTCGCATATGGATAGTTTCTAGCATGCTTGATTGCCCAGGATTTTTGAAGCTAGTTATCCCAAAGTGGGTAAGAGGACAACCAGGTGGGATGGACTGGCTGAGAAGGGCTAGGCTGGGGTTCAAATGGAGGAAGTTAAGTCATGCCATTAGCTCTGGCTGCAAAGAACTTTTTCTGTACCTGTACTGGCAAACCATCCCCAGGGATTTTCAGGTGGTTGGGTATTCGGCAGATCACCTTGTTCTTCTGTATAATGGGGTGGCAATCCATACCAGCCACTGTCACAGAAATTGTCATGCAGCCTGCCAGAGCATCTAGTCCTTTATGCTGTGGAAAGAAATATAGAATATTTGATTATGGCCAAAGATCAACCGTACTTATCAGCATTTTCTGTTGGGTTTATATCTCAGCCCCACCCTGTGTTCCAAATAACCCCGTGCTGAATTCCACATGCACATGTCTTTATCCAGAGGGAACAACTGGTCTGCTATATTCTCAAAGTACCTTAACTCCCTGCCTCCATTTCCTTGTTTTGTACGTGAAGCATTTTCTCACCGCAATTCTTTCCCATTAGTATTCAGCCCGTGGAGGACTATAAACTACAGTTCTTTCACATTTTATTTAATTGGTTACTCTTAACGGTGTACATTAGGGCTGTGCAGGTCTCAAAAATGATTCAAAAGAAGTGCTTCCGATCTCAGAGTGCCCCTCTGCTATTCATTAAAGCAGCCCAACCTCTTTCAGACTTTCTTATTAATTTTAATGACTTCATGCTTAAAACAGCCCCATCTTTTTTTCAAGCATGCATACATGTCTGAAAAGTCAGGGGCGCTCTGTTCATGAAAGGCCTGGAATACCTCTTCCAAGTAATTTTTGAAAGACACCGAGTTCTAATATACTTTCCTTGCATTTATGTGCCAGTTTATACATTGTGAATTGGCTCTAATTTGAGTTAATATATGCTTACAGAAAAGCATATGCATGCCAACAGTGAAATACTGGAGAGGATTATTGGCTCTGAAGCAGCATGCATGAGCAAAGACTTTCACATTCACCCAGAAGAACTTTCTGCTATGATTAAAGGGAGATAACCAGCATAGCCCAAGTTACTGGTGCTACAATGCTCGTGCAAGTATACCACTCAAGTGGACAAAGGTTCATACATATCACACCAGTTTAACAGAATATGGAATTAGCTTTCATCCTCCCAGGCTGCAGAGCCTTCCTTGCTAAATTTCTTGGATAGGGAAGCCCCGCACTTACACTGATCTCAATCCTGTCCTCTCCTCGTTGGAGTATATATGAGTGACCTTCATGGTCAAAGGGATCAATGACCGGCTTAGGGTAGTAGCGGATACGAAATGTCTTCTGCCCCAGAACTCCATCCATCAAGACACTCAGGTTCCCGTAAATACTCTCCATTTTGTTTTCAGATGGATAATCAGGACTTTGACACACCAACCTATCTGTGGACAGCGGCCCATCACATACCTGAAGTGATAGAAATCAGAACACTTTCATTGGGCTTCATTTCATCAACTTAATCCATGCCACTATACCAGCTCATTCAGGAGTTCAATTGTTGGAACAAGCATATACAAAACGGGAAAGATGGTAAGAGGACTGCTGTAGGAAGGCATTCAGAGCTTGGGAATACACCTGAATGTGAAAAATGGCGGCACATACATCCTATAGATTAAAGGAAAATTTTGTGACAGAGTTTCCTTTCCTCTTTCCATATTGCTGATTGAGTTTGTTGCCATCCTTGAAGCAGTTATTTAACTACATTGGCAAGTTCAAGTGATTGAAAGGAGGCAATTAAAACCATAATTTAAATTTGCCAAGAGAGAAAAAAATAAGCCTTATATTTCATACAAATTTATCACGTATGTATCATATGCTACTTAAACTCATAGAATCACCAAGCTGGAAGAGACCTAAAACGACATTTAATCCAGCTCCTCCTCAGTTCAGGATTCACTAATGCATCTCTGAGAGATGACCATCCAGTCTCTGAAGACCTCCAGTGAAGGAGAGCTCTTTAAATTTTTCCTATACAACAATGGAAAGCCAAAGTCCATAAATCATTTAAATACTGATACTTTAGAAAAGCCTCCTTAAATCAATGTATCTGACAAGGACAATGTTTAGGATTATTATGCTGTTATTTGGATTATTTGATACTGGTTACTTTTAAGAGAAATTTAGCATTTACAATGTATACAAACTGATTTAATATGTAAACATCAGACTATAAAAATGTGATGCATCTTTTTAACAGTATCTTGTACTTTGGCAACTTCATGGATGTGTAGGTATCTTTTCAAATCTGTGATATGGATTTTGTCTTTCATATAATGGCTGAAAATAATTTCGACCTTCTTAAAAAGGATTTTCTTTAAGGTCTCTCCTCCAGCTGTGAAATTTTCTTCTGAATTTAAATATGAATCACAGAATCATAGAATTGAAGGGTTGGAAGTGTATACATATTGTACATATAATTGTAGAATTATAGAATTAGAAGGAGGCACTGTCCATCAAAGTTTTTGAAACAGCCAAGTCACAGCTGGATTTCTTATACCCCAAAAGCATTCTGTGTCCATGCCAAATTCAGTTCTTTTCTCCTAGTTCCAAACCAAAAGATTTGTAATGTGTCACAAAGAATGCTACAACGATACAGAACATCAATTTTACATCCAGTGAGTTATGTTATCTGCTGAACAGCTTACTCACAATTCCCACCATTTTGATGCTACAAAATGAAGCCAAATCATTTTATAATGAGAAGAATAAAAGCAAATTCACATGAAGTAAAAAGAATTTTAGAAACAGCTACAAGAATGAAAATAAAGATGAAATCAAACTAAATGAGGATGAGGAAAAAGATAAGCCACAAAAATAATTGTACTAAAAACTGTAGAACTTTTAAAAGAAATGTTAACACTAAAGATAAAACCAAACATAATCTGTACATGGACTGTCAGTTACAGCAAGATAACCTTCCAAGTCGTTAAAAACTATTTAAGGATCGCCTTTATCTTGTACATTCACACATATACAAAAATGGATTCAAAGCTAGAGGAAAATATTTCCTTGAGCAAACTTGCTCTTTTCATATTCAGTTACTGAGTGAAATTGTTCGTATCTCTGCACATCTTGAACTCTACATGACTAGAGTCAAGTGAAGAGAACAACTGTGCAAACTCTGATTCTTCCATCAGTCAGAGAGCAATTCTCTGCAAGTGAAATCATGTTCCACTTCTCTAGGCTCCTGGCTTGTTTTGGAGACCTGGACAATTAGGATTCTTAATTGTACACATCTGTACATTCACAGAAAACAACGGCAAGGAAAATGGGAATGGAGCCAAGCTTGCCTTCATCGTCACTCTTTCATACAATTTCAATCTCAGGCCAGATTAGAATGGCCAACTAGTTCTCTAGACATGCTGGCTGGAGAATTCTATGATTTGGTCCACACATCTTACAGTTCTTGAGGTTGAGAAACACTGATCAATACTGCTTTCCTCCCTATGTATATTGTAATTTCTTAGGCACAAGAATACAAATTCTTCACCAATCAATCTCTAAAGCCTGAACCAAGTTACTACTACAAGAGCATACTAGGCCATTTTCTAACTAGCTTTCCCATGTGTAATGGAATTCTTTACTTCCAGAAAATGTAATAGTGGCTACAATGCAGAAAGTCTTTAAAATACTATAAGCCCTTCTTGAATATTTGGACGACGGGTTGAATGCTATGGGGAATGTTGGCTTCTCATAATATTTTATATATGCAAAGCAGTACATTTCCCCAGGCATTTGCCACAGCATCCATAGGGAGTCTCTTTTGAGCAAATAGCTAAAGCCTTTGCAAATAAATATTTACAATTCTTCTTCTCTCTTCTGAGAATACTCACTTTAGCTTTGGTCTGCACTCCAGCAGACTCAAACTGCAGCCTCGTGTTATACACTGAATCCAAATTGGCACCATAGATGTAGATACTGGAGCCCCTGCAAGGAATTGGAAGGCTGTGACACAAGAGCAAAGATGTTCCATTTGAAGAGGCATACTGGTGATGTGTGTGGATCTGGACATTATACTGTAACTTGAGAAATTGTAATGCTGCATCTAGTTCCCATGTCCTAACGCTACAAACATTCAGCTCCCACCTTGCTAAAAATTGGATGCATTCCTAACTGAATTCAAGGGAAATTACCCCTGAGCTGATGTACACAGGACTGAGCTGCTGGGAAAACTCCCCTGGTTTCATTGAATGAGACAGCTGCAGGGCAATCTTATCGATTTTTATTATCCATAAATGTTTATCAGACTGCAGTCTTAAAGGCTCAGGACACTAGAAACTTTATTTAATGAACAGTATGCTACATGACCACAGAACAAGATGTGGAGATACAAGAAGAAGAAAGGATGTGCAGTTTCTACACAAGCACGTAATTATAATAGTCTGCAGTTTATTTTTATGGAGTTTTAAAAAATAATCCATATCTGGATTTAATTTATATGGGAGCTTTGCATGTAACTTTCTGTAATACACATTCATTTGTAATGTAAATGTTCCAGGTGGTCTTTTAATTCATAATGTATAAGTCTTCTCAATGTATGCTTTTAAATATAAATTTATACACTCCACTATATGATTTTTTGTATGCAACTTCCCCAAATACACATTCTTTTTTGAAACATCTTTTATAAATAAATATTGCTTTGTACCCATTTTTTTCCAGAGAAAAGCAAAAACTAGCAGATTCTGTTCATTGTGGCTATATCATACCAGAGTCAGGTTTGATGGACTGAGCCAACTCTCTCCCTTAAAAATCTATGGCAGATTTCTTTTATATTTTTAATGGGGAAAGTAGGATGTTCCTTCAGAAATCTGGATACAGAAGCAAAAGGAGACTCACTCATAACTGCAGCTGGGAGAAATATTATATATCTGGGGGTCTTCTCGATACCAGAAAAGCTGAGGAGAAAGAAATTGCTCTTCATCTATTATTACAGTCACGGATGCATTGGTCAAGTTGCTTGAAGGTGGGGTGGTACAAATTATGGCCTCCTCTCTCTGGCTAGGGAGAAGGGGAAAAAAAAACATGACAGAACTCTCCTTACCAATAGAACATTTAGCCCTTTGCTCTGCATTCAGTCTTTTCCAGCAAGCCACCTTCCACATGTCTTCAAACTGCCAGTCTGGAATTCCCAGCAAAAGCAGCCAAAGTTCATCCAGTTGGAAATTCTGGGACTTGCTATTCTAATACACATCTGGAGGCTCTGTGTTAGAGAATGTTGTTCTACAGCGTCAACTTTAAGAATGTATTGCCCTGCATAATTACATTCATGTTCACTGCACATTAACAGGGCTGGCCAGCTCTATAAATTGTTGCCTTAGCTGAGTAAGTTTAATGGCATTTACTACCCAATGAAGACAGAGGGATTTGAGGGTTCAGTGTCAGATTTAAGGAACTTGACAAAGCTAATGCCACAATGACAACAACACTAACCACATAATTACTGGGATGATGAGATCTGTCACATGTCCCCTACATACTTTGTCTTGTCCTATGATACCATCTAGTCTGGGAAGCACTCTACATGTTTCTATCTAACCAGTGTAATAGTGTTAGAGGGCATTATCCAATAAACTTTGGGTACTGCACAGAACTTAGAAAGCTGTGGTAGTTGGCAAGCCTGTATAGAATGGCTTGCTTTGCAACGCTGCCTTCTCCTCATCTCCTGTGAACGCAAGGTCAGACTGCCATCTTCACGAGAGTAGCAAGACCCACATTCTTTATTATACAGCATCCTCCTTGTGTCCAAGGAAGCTTTGAAATGTATCAGCTCAATGCTGATTCACTCAAGGATAAAATCATCAACTCATTCAGGCTCCCCCATAATTCTAGAATAAGAAGAGTTGCACTGTTACAATAACATGAAGGATTAATTTACAGGGTATCTGTGCCTTTGATAAGATAATACCTATATGTAAATGTACTTGGTATTTGTGCCTTTGATGAGCTATTGTCTATGTGTTACACTTTCCCCCACAATTAGCCTAGGCAATAGATCATCAAAGGCACAGATACCAAGTACATTTATCTGTGCCTTCCCTCCACCCCCCACAATTAGCCTATGTTCTTAGAATAGGGATGGAATTAGAATAGGGATGGAATCTATATAAGATCTGTGTTGCCCTGACATCTGGGCTCCTGGCCTTGTCTGCTAAGAACCTGTTGATCATTGGATTTCTTTCCTAGTTTAATAACGAAAGCAGTACCTGTAACTCTCCAGATGTTTGACTCTTTAGAGAAGAGTTTTTCCACTGCACCAGACATGTTGGGAGCTAGATCCCTAGAAAATCTTCATTCCTACTGAAGAACTTACAAAACTAGGGAATTAAATTCAGGCTATATTCCATTCAGTATGGGGAGGCAGAAGTTTGGTAATGGAGAAGTAGCTACTCTAATTTTCCCCATACCTCACCACATAGAGTAAGTCTTAGCTTATGATTCCGAGTGGTCAAAATTCAATTCATCATTTAAAAACTGAGCTGTACCAATTCTTATATAGATGTAATTATTATTATATTATTAATCTTAGAGCTAGAGTTTTTCTTTTTTGTTTTGTTTTCTGTATCTTGTTTCAGCTCCATTCATTTTGTTTTTTCTTTCCTCTTCATAGCTGTATTAAGGCAATACTTAAAAAAAGCAAACAACTCTGGTTGCAGGAAACATTCTGAGTAACGGATGATTTCTAATTGGTATGAATGATTACTTCCTCACCACAACAAACACTGTGACATTCACTTGCTTTCCTACCAGAAACTGAGACAATGACTTATTTGGAAAGTATGAGAAATGTAGGAGCAGTCAGTAATTTTATGTATAAAAATCCAGAAAAGAGTATATTGCTCCATCAACAGATGCTTGAAGGATATTTTTAAGTATCTTAAAAACTGCCTGCATTTAGGTATTCAAAAAATGCAATCATGTACTGCAGCTATTTCCTTTCCCCGAATAACGTAAATACAGTTTAGAGAGAAAAGAATCCTGATCATTTGCATCATTACTGCCCCAACCTAGCGTAGATAATGTCTCGATTAGGGCTTCCATATCTAATAGTTATGTTTTACCTGGAATTGCCAGGAAGTTATTCAGGCCTAGCATCTTTACAAAAAGATGTCATACCAACCAGCTGGGTTTTAAAATCTAACATAATTCAAAATTATAGCTACAGCCTTTATAACTCATTCTTTTATACTTAATATCCCGAAGCCTTTCAATCCAACTCCCAGCTTGATAAGCTGAAGCAAGAAGGCGCTCCATTTGTCATACCTTTTCTCACTGTCCACAGGACACTCTAGACTGTTAATCATCACTGTCCTTGTACCTCCCACCAGAAGGCTTTGTCCTTGGATAAAGATCTCTGTTCCTCCAGCCATTGGACCATAGGCAGGGTGAATGGAAGTTATGTTTGGCAGCTGTTGATGGTGAACAGAACAAATAGCAACTCAGTGCTCATTGCTTTGGTGAAGCCAAATATTAGCACATATCCTGGCTATTAACATTATTATTGTTGTTGTTGTTGTTGGTCACACACAGCCAGATGTTTAGACTGGATTTGGCATTTTTATCCACCTATTATTATTATTATTATTATTATTATTTTATCCATGTATGTATTTTATCCATGTATTTTATCCATGTATACACAGACACATGCACACATACATATACACACACATACACACACTCAACTCAAGGCAGCGGACATACCCAATACTCCCACCTCTTATTTTCCCCACAACAACAACCCTGTGATGTGGTTTGGGCTAAGAGAGAGTGACTGGCCCAAAGTCACCCAGCCGGCTTTCATGCCAAAGGGAGGCCTAGAACTCACAGTCTCCTGGCTTCTAGGTCAGCACCTTCACCACTACACCAAATTGGTTCTCAAAACAACAAAACAACAGAACAAAACAGGAGGTTGCGCGATCTACTTCTGGATGTCTGTCTACCTAGACTATCAATCCTGACATACCACAAGAATTTAGTCCATATGAATTTGCAACTTGCTTGCAGCCTTCTGTGAAAGAAACAGACTTCATATTTAGCAAAAAAGTGGGGTGAGCCACTCTTGAGTGGTTAGGGGCCATAATTTGACTTCCCAACCTTCCAGAAGGTTCTAGAAAGACTCAGTGACAATGATTTTATTGGAAGTGGCAGAACTGATTTTTTGGATCCCATTTTTTTCAGTTTTAGGAATTTTAATGGGGGATTGGAAGTGTGAAGCTTTAGGCAACTTTTGGGGCTAGTTTCAGGCCATTTGGATAGCGTAAGGGGTTAATACAGAACAGTTTTGATGGAAATTAAAACGTGTTTTGGTAATAGTAAAAAGGGCTAAATAAGGAGCTTTCAGCAGATTAAACGGAATTAAAAATAAAAGTGATGAACATATTTGGGATGACACTAAAGTGGAGGAACACTGCAATTAGAATTTTACAAATTTGTATGGGACTAGGTAGAGATACGTCAAATGTCATAAACATTAAGCATCCGAGAAAATAATGATGAAAAGGAATTCAAAAAGATTGTGAAAATGTTGAAAACTAACAAGACTCTAGATATAGATTATGAAGCTATAGAAATGTTACAATATGGATATGGTCGTTTATGGAGTTATTGTAAAATTTGTTTAATGTGTATGTTAAGACTTCGTCTCAAATGACTGGCAGAATGCTCTTATTGTTCTCCTATAAGGAAAAAGTAGCAAGAGTAAATATAAAAACTAGAGGAAGATTAGTTTGTTAAAAGAGTTGAGAAGGTATTTGGCAGGATTCTGATTGAAATGAGGGGTGACTGTGAACAAAAGTTGGGAAGCGCAGCGTGATTATGTCAGGCAGGGGGTGTGCAGAAGAGATTTTTGCTCTTCAGCAGGTGATTTAAAAATGTATGATGGTGAGAAACTTTATTGCATGCTGTTGACTTAGAGAAAGTGTATGATAAAGGCTGGGACTAGGTAATGTTTTGTGTGAATATGGAATTCACACAAATTAAGAGCAGTATACAGGAAGATGGAAGTTAAACATGCATGAGAAAATTGAATTTAGAAAACAGTTCCACATTGTATAAGGAATGCTTGTCATGACATTAGAGGGATGGGATGTGGTTATGTAAAGTTTGAATACGGATGATGCTGTACTGCTGGGTGAGAACCTCAATGAACTGCAGCAAATGTAAGATTATATGATCTAAACATTAATGTACAGTAACAAGGACCATGTGGCTATGTTCAGTGAAGAAAATGAGGTAAATGAAGGCAAATTATACATAAATGGAGAAAAACTGGAGCAAAGGAAATGGATGTGTGTACCTTGGTAGAATGTTTACTAAAGATAGAAAACTGGATGGAGAAATTTTAAGATGTGCAAATGCTGGCAAAAGGTGACATAGTATGTTGTCTGTTAACAGGAACAACTGTAAATTCAAAGAGGTGAAAATGGTTGGGTATAAGAATGTTGTTCTTTTCACTCTATTTTATGGAATGTGGGTATGTCATGGAAAACTTAAAAGTAAGTTGAATACAATGGAAAAGGGATACTTAAGAAGCATGTTCAATAAAACAAGAAGAGTCATGAATGAACAGGTGCTGAATAATTGTGGACTAAATACAAAAGTCTGTTGGCCTTCTGGAAGGCCTTTAAAGCTGTAGTTCTGCTATTGGGCCTGAGGATCCCATCTCTCTCCTGGGGTTCCAGAAAGCTTGAAAACCTGGCTCTGGTCCAAGACTTGGGGTTGATGTTTCCATTTTATATGTCTAAAGACTGATTCCAAAGCAGCTGCTGAAGGAATAGAAGAACACACGTTTGCCTCACTTAAGTTCAATAATGCAGATGACAAACGGAACTTTTCTGTATCCTATCCTTGTTAAGACAATCCAGGACTGCCAAGGCTAAAGTTGGCCTTGTTTTAAAGAGAGTTTAGAAGTCCCAAATTCCCACCAAATTCTAATATGTACAAATCAAAAATCTTATTTGAATAAACAAATTCTGTTAAAGTTTGCAGAAACCAAGTAAAGTTACATTAAATCTTCTGCACATTTCCAATTCTGGATTACAGCCAAGAAGCTACAGTTGAACAGTTTTGGATAAAATTGCAAGTAATATGTAATCTGCCAGAAATTCTGTGATGCCAACTCCCATCATTCCCAGTCAGCATGTCTAATAGGAACTATGGAAATGATAGTTTAACATGTTGGGGCCAGAAGTTCCATCCATTTTTACTCCACTGGCCTGTATCAAACATTTGCCACAGAGTATAACAATATCCATCACTGGCTGTCAGCGCCTATTAGGAAGTATTTACTACATCAATGGTGGTGATTTATTGTAAGAAAATTAGCAGGAGCTCAAGGAGTAGAAATATTAAACTCACCATAAATACAAAGCCACTGAGGATTGAGGAGCCAGTGATATGAAATGGGGTTGCTTTATTCTCTATAATTGTCAGATTAATCTGTTGTGGTTCCATGATCTTCTCAACCCCCTTTGGTGACAATGTGCAGACAAGAACTTCAGCAAAATCCTTCCACTTTGGCACCTGGCTATACCTGGAAAGTAGGTAGTGTGATGAAAGGACAAGTAAAACGCTGATTATGACAGCCTACTACAATCTAAGGATTCTTCAGCATCAAGCAATAATACCCTTTTCATAAATAGTTTACTTGCACATGACTAACTTTGGATCTACCGTGCTCTAATCAGATAGCAGAAATAGTGAAAAGGCCACCTCTTTCTATTCCCAAGAATGTAAGACTTGACTGCTGTGGAAAGTAACAGCTTCACAAAAGATTAAAGCCTTACTGTAGGGGTGGACAGCATTTGGGGGGCTAAGAATCCAGTTTCATGTGATGTGTCAAGGGTCACATACCAAATGTAGGCTGAGCCAGAAGAAAACTCAGATATCTGAGTTTTCTTCTGGCTC